CTCACCACCAGTGGTGGTACTAAGTGCAGTGAGACTGTGCCACATCCAGGGGCCTGGGGCTGGGGCCAGGCTGGGGCCAAGGAACTGAGACTGTCCCCCACTCCCAGGCCTGCTTGGGCTTGTGGAGGGGATTGGCCCTGTGGATAATGGGGTGCATGCTTGGGGTGAGCACCCCGTGGCACGTTTGGGAGTAAGCAGGTTCTGACCTTCATGACCCCCTAAGCTGTGATCTCTGGCAAGATCCCAGAGAGCTCAGATTTTCCTGTGAGGCAGGGTGGAGCCGTGAGGCACTGCTGGTCCAACCTGGCTGTGTGGCCTTGGGTCAGCAGCCGGTGTGACTGGGTGTGGGGGTGGAGACACCCCCAGGCTTCCTGCATCATGACGGTGGGCTCCCTGAGGCACCACTGTTGCCAGCTCAGCAGACATCGCATGTCTGGCCGGGCTCCTGGAGGACCGCCTGGTGTTGGCACAGTGATGTGTCACCGTGTGCCAGTGCGTGAGGCAGTCCCATCACTAGGCTGCCATCTCAGCTGAGGGCTTTCCTGCCAGACACTGGCCCAGCTGTTCTGTAAAAGAGCCCCGCTGGGACCTGCTGCTCCCCACGGTGAGACGGCTGCCGCCCGGGCCCATCCAGGGCTGCGGAGCCGCAGGGCTGTCAGAGGCTGCCCTGTGCAGGTGGGAGCCACCCCACAGGTTGTCTGGGCGTGCGGCTGGACAGGGCAGAGCGGGTTTGCCGGGCTGGGTTCTGCCCCCAAAAGGAGCGGGTCTCCTCCCCAGCCCTCTCAGTAAGCAGGGAGATGAGGAGGCCCCCAAGCTTCCTTTCAGCCTGGAGGTGCCCACACCGCCGGGGCACCAGGCCCCCCTCCATGCTGCCAGGAGAACGGCATTTTCTGTTGCAGTTTCAGAGTCTAAGGTGCTGATGCTTGGCCAGAGCCCTGCTGTCTGGGGTATCCCAGGGCTCTGGTCCCACTGTAGGGGTCACTTCCTGCCAGATGGGCCCCAGGGGAGTGCAGCCAGCTTCCCCAGAGAGCACAGCCCACCTCAGGCGTCAGGCGTCAGGATTTCCTGCACCCGTGTTCTGAGCCTCCATGACTACAGAGCTGGCCAACTGCAGACAGCAGTTCCGTGCTCCGTGTTTAGTCCCTGCAGCTGCTGTAATGAATCACCCCACCTTAGTGGCCTAAGACAACACAGGTCTGTTAGCTTACAGTTTGGCAGTCAGATGTCCCAAATGGGCCATAAGTAAGGTGCCGGCTGGGCTGGTTCCTTCGGAAGCTCCAGGGGAGAATCGTTTCCACCTCTTCCAGCGTCTGGACGCTGCTTGCATTCCTTGGCTGGTGGCCCCCCTCCTATCTTCACAGCCAGGAGCCCAGCGCCTGCCCCACCGTGTTCTGGGCCTCTGGCCCTGCCCGTGAGGACCATGTGATGGGTTTGGGCCCACCTGGGACCTCCAGGGTCATCTCCACCCCACCTCAATCCTGTCTGTGAAGTCCCTGTTGCCGTGTGTGGTTCCTGGGATCAGGACGTGAAGCTCTTTGGAGGTTGTTCTGTTAGCCTCACTCTCTTTAAGGACCACAGAGCCTGTGACCTCAGGTCAGGGTCATGGGGTCAGCACCGCGGGGTTCTCGGAGCCCACGTGGCCTGGCTTGGGAGAGGGGAAGACAGGGTTTAGGTAACCCCATCCCAACCTACTTTCTGAATGTAGATTTCTCTGGAGGGGCCTGGCTCTCTGAGCTGCATGGGACCCCAGCAGGAGGCCGTCCGCCCCTGTGCACCCCGTCAGCAGGTTTCTGTCGCCCCGAGAGGTGAAGGTTTCTGTCCGCCCTGGAGGCCTCCGACCCTGCCGCCTCCACCTGCCCCGCCCTGTCTAGCTACCCAGACAGGCCGACAGTGGGTGCTGGAAGCCCGTCTGCCCCACCGTGCAGGTTCCCCACCGCCCAGCAGTGCAGCTCCGGGGATGGGAAGGCCTTGGGTTAGGGCCAGCACGCCAGCCCGTCCAAGGGGAGAGTCGGGGGTGGCCTGGCAGACGTGGGCCTGTGCGTTCTGGCAGCAAGAGGCTGGGCCCTAGGGTGGGACGGTTGAGTTTACATGTTCCCTCCGGGCAGCAGGAGGTGAGAAGAGTGTGGCCACGTGGGCAGTGGGTGTGGGTAGGGAGGGAGGCCCTGGCTGTCAGCCAGCCCAGCTAGGGGGGCCCTGCTGACCATCAGGCTGCACCCTGTCCTGGTGGCCCCCGCAGGCTTCTACCCCGCCTGTCCATCAGCTTGGGGTCCTTGCAGACTGCAGGGCTGCTGGCCTGGCCCGAGGGTGGGTGCTGGCCGGAGCTTCGTTGTGTCCCAGATGGCCCCCCTCAGGCCTGCCTGGGAGTTGCCCCCAGGTGGGCTTGGTCCCCCAGCCAGGTTTCCCAGGGCCTCATGGGATGCAGTGCCACCTCAGCCAGCCTCTCCCCAAGCCCAGTGCCTGGAGTGCGCTGAGGGTGACTGCAGAGTGCCAGCTGAGAGCTGGTGTCGGAAGCCAGTGTCCCTGGCAGCCCGGTCACTCTGCCCTGCCTCTGAGGCCACGTCTGGGGCTGCCTGTGGGCTGGCCGCTGGCTGGCAAGGCCACTAGACATGCCAGGCCCAGTCTGTGTGCCCACCCCTGGGAATAGCACACACTGCCGCTTCTTCCCCCACAGCCTTGCTGAGCACCTACTGTGTGCCCGGGGCTGTGCTCCCTACCTTCACCTGGCAGGGGCCCTCTCCAGGGTCTCCTCTCTGAGCCCCTCGGTGGCTGCTGCCCGCCTCGCCCGGCCCTGCCTCACCCCTCCATCCCCCATTTCCTCCTGCTCAGGAGGGTTCTGAGACCACCAGCACCCTGGTTCCCTCTGCCCCCCAGTCTCTGGGGCTCTGCCAGCGGCTGTGAATTTTTCCTTCAGGCTTTTTCCTGCCAGGCACCTGGCTTTGTTATGAGGAAGCCCACAGGTCACCACAGTGCAGGTGTACATTCTCTTGGTGCCGCCTGGCCCCTCCTCTCTGAGGCAGCCTCGGGGCTTCGGCGGGTCCCTGGGGGTCTCCCTTGAGGGTGTGTGGCTTGTGCATGGAGCAGGTGGCCTGGAGGCCCCAGGCAGAGACCCTGGCCTCCCAAGGTTTGTTTTGGTGTCATTTTTGGGGTGCCAGGGACATTTTCGGAGTGTGGACTGGTGGCAGGATTTCTGTACGTGGGAAGCATAGCCTGGTGGGCAGGTTCTGGAGATGGTCAGGAGGTGCCTCTCCCCGTGCGCCCCCCGTGGCACTCAGCAGTGTGGCACCCCGCCTGTCCATCAGCTTGGGGTCCTTGCAGAGTTCCCATGGCTGGAGTTCCAGGATGGTGTGTTTTCATGGGGCTGTGGGTGGGAACCGGGGGGTGAAGTTTTGCTGGATAGACTGGATCCACTGGACTTTTCAGCAGGATTAGAGAGAAATCTCTGCTCCGTGCAGGCCCTGAGAATGGGTCCTCCCCGCTAGCCACGTTTTCACACAGCTGAGGGCCTGCCTGTGAAATTCTGTTTTTCCCTAGTGGAGCCACACTGAGTGGAATCTAATGCTGGCACTTGGAGCTGAGCGTGGCCTTCCAATGCGAGGCTCAGTCCGCGGTCAGGGGCTCCAGTGTTTGGGCACGAGTTTCCTGGGTCCAGACACCTGGCTCATAAATGCTTGTGAGTGGAGCGTCTGTGTGTCTGTCCCCGCCGGCCCCCTCCCCCATTCCTGGTCTGGAAAGCTGGCTGCCTGCATAGCGTGGGCTGGTGTCTGAAAGGTATGGATGGGCTTGAGGACCCTGCGTGGGCTCCAGGGTGGCTCCGTCTCGGAAGGGACCTCCTCCCTCCATCTTGCGCACCTCCAGGGCTGTGTTTGGTCCGTCCTGGCATTAGCCCGGCTCACAGGTACCTGAGGCAAGGGAGACGTTCCCTCTGCTTGCCCGTCTGCCTCAGTGGCCGCCCACACCTTCTCCGGGCCTCTACATTCCTGGTCAGTGGTCTCGGGTGTGAGGCATCCTTCCAGAAGTGCAGTGCTGTGACCCTGACAGGTCCTGTCCTGGGGATGTCTGCTGGGTGGCCTCCCATCTCCCCAGCCCAGGGAGCCACTGGAGGGCCCCAGGCTAACACCTGCACTAGTTTCCCGGGGCCGCCAAGACAAATACAGTGACAGATGTTTCTTCTCTCCCAGCTCTGGAGGCTGGAAGCCCGAGATCAAGGGGTCCACAGGGCGTGCTCCCCCGAGCCCTCCAGGGGAGGGTTCTTCCTCGCCCGTCCAGCCTCTGGTGGTGCCCGGCTTCTTTGGCTTGTGGGCACCATCCTCCCACCTCTGCACCCCTGTGTCTCCTAACAGGACCCAGTCACTGGACTTAGGCCACCCTCATCCAGCAGGACCTCATCTAGATCCCCAGCTACATCTGCAAAGGCCCTGTTTCCAGAAAAGGCCAACTCTGAGGCTGCTGATGGACAGGAATTTGGGGAGCCCTGTTCAACCTAGTGCACGCCCCAGCCCCTCCTGGGCTCTCCCCCAAAGCCCAGGCAGGGGCATCCGGTGGTTTTCCCTTCTGGGCCAGTAGCCCCAGCAGAGCAGCTCACGTGGCCTTGGGGCTTTCCTGAGTTTGGACTTGGGGAAAGTTGACTCTTTAAAGGCTCCAGTGCCAGGCCTCCTCCAGCCTGAGCCACCCCCCTCTGCAGCCACCGCTCTGGCCAGACCCCCCCCCCACACACATTCTGACCCTCCCCAGGGGTGGCATCTCTCCCTCGTCAGCAGGCAGCCGGGTGTGGGGGACCTGCCCTGCCTTCTGTCTGCTCTGCTCCTGCACGTGTGAACTTGGGGCTCAGGGTGCACCGCAGCTGTGGTCCGGGAAGCAGGGTCTTGAGTCTGGGCCCTGGCCCCAGGGCCAAGGGCGGTGTCCTCGGAGGGGGCGGGCTGGGACCCTGGGACCAGCCCAGAGGAGGTTGGCGGCACAGGCAGGTACTGGCTGCTAGCCCTTGGTCCCCTGTCCCCATCCAGATGTGGATGAGTGCCAAGCGCACAACGGTGGCTGCCAGCACAGGTGTGTGAACACGCCCGGCTCCTACCTCTGTGAGTGCAAGCCTGGCTTCCGGCTCCATGCCGACGGCAGGACCTGCCTGGGTGAGTAACCTACAGCCCTGGGTGCAGTGGCCCTCCTCCTGGGCCTAGTGGCACCTCCCTGCCCAGCCTCCTGGCCTCAGCCAACCCCACCGCCCTCCTGGTGTGCCCGGCCTGGGGGGTCAGTGTCCCTGCCCTCCTGGGCTGAGAGGCCTGACGGGGCCTGTCGGCTGAGCAGCCGCCACTATTACAGGGGCTCCCTCCTGTAGGTGTGGGATTCTAAGGGTAGTTGGTGCTCACTGGTGGTGGGAGAGGCCTGGCCTGAGGCGGCCGCAGGGTGGGGTCACTCTTGACCTGCAGGGCTGGGGCCCTTGAGCCCCAGTCCCTTGCCATGGGAAGCCTGGGTTGGGGGGTACACTCAGCAGGTGGGGAAGGGGAAGCTGAGAAGCAGGACCCTGACCCTCAGCTCCTCTTAAGGGCCTGTTTGCCATGGGGGCTGGGCTCGGTGGGAGGCGGCAGGGCACAGGCCGTTGTGCCTGCCCAGAGGGTTCCAGGGGCAGAAGGGGAG